CACTGAAGTTTACTGAGTGCTGGCACAGGTTGCCCAGAGAGGTTATGAAGTCTCAGTCCTTGGAAGTATTCAGTAGCCTTTTAGTCATGGTCCTGGGGAATCAGCAGTAGGCGACCCTGTTTGAGTAGAGGGTTGAATAAGCTGACCTCAACCATTCTGTTGTTCTCTGAAAAGTGGGAAAAGCCGGTTTCCCAGAAGTAGAGAGATACATTTTTCACATTTTGGACAAAACTAATTGTTTCATGCTATATGATGTCCTGTGTAGCAGTAAGAGCTGGGGGAAAAGGCAAAGAAAGAAGAGGGATGTTTGGAATTAGCTTCCCAGTTAACTGTTGTACATAATGAAGCACAGTTTTCCTGGGAAAGACTAAGCATCTTCCTGCAGATGGGAAGTAACAAATAAATGAACTTATTCTGCTTTGCTTGCACGCATGACTTTTATCTATTAAGCTCTTGTTATCTCTGACCACGAGTTCTTCTCTTCTCTTCACTTGCTCTGAGTGGGTTGAGGAACAAGGAGCTATGTGAGGCTTAGCTGTGTACCAATGATAAGCCCACAACACTTAAATACTTGTAAATTTTGATCAAATGTGGGAGGCTCTGGAGAGGTTTGTAGACGCACTTCTGCGCTGAAGTTCATAAACAGCAGCTGTCTATCTCTTTCCCTTCCTTCTTATCCTTAATAGACGGCAGGGGAAAGATCTCTTTTCTAAGAGCTCTTGGTAAGGGACAGTGTGACTTTGAGATGCAGTTAAAACGTGACTGCTGCTTTCCACTTTTCCTTCAGAAGCCATCATCTGTGTTGGACTTGGTCTTCTAATAGCAAAAAGCTTGTGAGTGGTGCATAGATTTTGGGGAAAAAAGAAGCAAAACAAACCTGCATTCATGGGAGCTATTGAGGCTGAGAAAACAGGTCTGTCTGCTTTTGAAATGATTGGTGGACACTGAGTGGTCTTCCTAAATTTTTCTCCTCCCTTTTCAGTTAAAGTAAAAATCGCAATCTTGTGTGTCCTTGTTTTCTTGTGTGTTGTATCATCATCATAATTCAAGCATTTCAGGTGAACCGTTGTCTCAGACAGTCTCAGGCGCAATCCCCCAAACCACCCTACTGTTTCACGTGCGTTTCCATGCTTATTAATGTGATAGAAATGCCGTGACAGGGAGCTAGAGGAAATGCCGTATTGAGTTGGGAAGGGAGAAGGCAGTATGTGGAGAAAGGGCCTGCCACCTTAGCATGGTGAGCTTCTCACTGTGGAAGAGGGTGCTGTACTCTCTAACAGTAAGTGAGCTTTAGAAGAGAGGAGTGCCTTTTTTCTCCCTCTTGCTTTCCGTGGATTTAGATTATTCTTGGTTACTTTGAGGCGAAAATACAATTTAAAAAAAAAAAAAAAAAAAAAAAAAAGTTTGAGAATGATAAAAAGTTAATTCTGCAAACACAAATTCAGTGTTCATAAGTGGAATATTGCTGCACGTTGTTTGTGCTTTATGGATCTTAATGAATTTGTCAGGAAATCCAAAGCTGTAGTTAAAAATCACTTTGAATTGGGGCAGAGGATGATTCTGCTAGCTTATGCACTCATCTAACTTTTGCCTTCGAGTGCTGAGTACATATACAGTTGTTCTAGTAAAAGATAAACAGAAAACTCTTTAGTGATATTCTGATTGATATAGGCTAAATATAGGACTAATAAAGATGTCTTGAGGTTTGGGGAACATGCAGAATTTAAGATGTTAGTATGATGCTTTGAGGCAAAAGGAACTTCTGCCTTAGTTAAAACCCTGGAGTAAAGAGAATCATTTGCTAAACAAGCGATTTCCTTTCTACCTGAGGTGAGATTATAGTTGGAAAAACAAACACTGGATACGTGCTTCTAGTTCTTCAATATTGCTTATATACATCTAATTATTCAAGTAAGACTTTACTGAAATAATTTGAAATTAAACATTAAACACATTTCTTCTTGTGTGCATCTTATGATCTCTGTATCCTCCATGTCACTTCAGTGAGGTATGGACTTAGCTGTTTACCTGTTGTTGTTTAACTGCTAGTTTTTCTAAGCACTGTAAACTTTTTCAGTGATATTTTCCTCCTTCCTTCTGTTCTGCCTGGCAAGTAAGAAAAATCGGTTAATGACCTCTTAAAAGCATACAATGAAACAAAAAATAAACCCCTAACCTAGAAACAGTAAGCTTAATTTGAGCAAATTCACCCCTGCCGTAGCACATATGTTGCATGCTTAATGTTGAAACGCAAGCAGAATATCTTTTACTGCACATTTAACTTGGAACTAGAGCAGGAGATTAACTGTCATACTGATGAAATCTAAACTTGAGATTTTTGGAGTTATTTTTTCCAGTGTTAAAGTATAGGGTAAAATAACTATAAGCTGAGTTCTAGTTTAAAAAATAATTTAAAAAGTCTTGAAATTGAAGACCAGCATGTTGTGGAGTTGTTCTCCTAGTTTTAGTTTGCAGTATGTTAAAATAAACAAGTTCTTAGTGTAAATGTATTACCAAGCATTATTTAAACAGGCTTACTTTTGTCTGTAACTCCATGTAAACTCAGCAAGGTTTAAAGCCAATGAAGGCTCAAGACCTAAGTGCAAGTATACATATATTCAGTACACCTGAAGTTGTCTTTTGAAGAAGGAATTTAAGTAGTGATTGAAGTCATGCATACTGCTGCTAAAACAGTGACCTTTTCCCAGTAGAGGTGGAGAGAAAACACCATGTTTTGTGGTCTTAGACCTCTGTATGTCCTTTATGTTTTTATATAACATGACTGTAAAAGCAATCCTGTCTAAATGGGAATTCTGCTGAAAAGCAGTATTTATGCTGTGTTAATTTCCAACAAGGTCACCTCCCCCATTGTTTTTGTGGCTGCAGCAGCACTGTGAGGCAGACGTATCAGCCATCCCAGGGATTTACACTTGTACATGTCACTTGAGAAATGACTTAGGCAGCAGTTCTGCTTGCCATTTATATGTGTGTTTATTGACCATTTGGCAACATGGCTCATATCACTGATACTAAAAGGATTTAGCAGTGAAGGGGAGGTTTTGGGAGTGGCTCTCATGGGGAAATATGGATGAGTGGTTCTACTTGGGCAGTTAAGAATAGAATAAGTCACTGTGAGTTTTGAAGAATCCAGTAGTTACTCTGTCATTTAAGTGATCAAAATAGATAGTTCTTTCTGCTGCTCCCCCGAAACAACATGTGCTGTATCAGCAATGCTGCGGCCTTGGTCTTAAAACTAACTACAAGGTCAAAATGAAATAATTTAAAATGCTTGACTGTCCTGTGCTTTCAAAAATTCTAATTCTTTCTTCCATCCAGACCTCTCTTTATGATTTATAGCTGGCTAAAAACAATTCTTTGTTTTACATCTTCTGTCTGTTTTTTTTGTTTAAATTTGAACTGACTTTGTTAAAATGTAACACAGTATAAGAACTCCTGATCTCCGAATCCTCATGTAGGTGTAGTGCGAATTGAAAAGTAATTGATGGTAGAATAGTAAATCCTTGGAATTGTTTATATTCTAGCATTTTTAAAAGCATTTTAGGGAGTAATAATGGATTATGAACTTTGAGATAAACAGAGAGATTGGTTGTACTGGCGCAGGTGGATGAGAGGTCCCCAGCTGATTGCTGCTTTCTCTTGGCTGTTGCTGCAGGTACCTGTGTTCAGTACTATGAAGTGCTCTTGCTGGGATGAGCCTCTCAGTAGCTGCATTGCACAGGTGCACAGTGAAATGGGGTGGAAAATTGTGCTGCCTGATGTTAGCGAAGAGCAAAACCAAATGTGCTGTCAACCTTTGTACAGCAATAAAAGTTTATGGTTGAATTGCTGAGCAGCTTTTTAAACTGCAAGCCAAAGTCTCTCAAAATGTGTGATAACTTCAGAAAATCTTTTGTTGATTTTTAAATCAAGAAAATCATCCATGCGTTTTTAAATGCATGGATGCATAGCATCGCTGTTAGAAATATTTTAAACCTCAGGTTTTGGTAATAATTTATTTCTGTAGATGGAAGCAACCAAGAAAGAGTACTGTAGAATTCTAGATGTGTTTTGCATTGAAACAATTTGAAGTGGCACTTTTTTTTTTTCTTTTAATATAATGCTATTCTGATTTAACCTTTCTATGTTCTGTGACACCGTTCTTACGATAAATAAGAATTTTGGTTCCCTGTAGACTAATTAAAAATGTGTTTTAAGGTAGTTGAGTTCCCAAATAGAGTTTCAAGTCAGTATTATTTCTGCTCATGTGAATTTACTGGTTCCTTTTATTGTCAAACATTATATTTCTGTGAGGGCAGCTGATTGTCTTACCTAGTTGATGTTTCTTTCCAGTGCATAGTATGGGCACAGATGTGAGGGAGTAAAAGCTGTTAAGTAATAATACAGGTGGCAGAGGAAATAGTGTTTTGCAGTTGGTACGAATGTTAGTAGCTCACTGAGAAGTGGAAAAAAATAGTTCTATGGTTTTGAGTAGTCTAGTTTTAGTAAAGTGTCCTGGCTACTTATTGCTAATTCTTCTAAACCCGTGCGCATAGTGTGAAACTCTATTTGAAGGATTTGTTTTCAGTACTTTCTTCATGCTCTTGTATTTGTCGTATGTCTGTTGGTTGCACTCAGTTGTGAACTGTTGTTGAATGTGTCTTGTCCAAGACAGTGACTTTAAATAAGTATGGTAAAGTACCTGGTAATAATGTGCCAGGTTACTTAAAATAAACAGAATAGAGATAGACCATGTGTGCATATATAAAATATATGCCTTTAATATGTTATTTTGGAGGCAGTGGCATTAGTGTTTCTAAGCGTCAGACATGTAAAGTAACACTTTCTAAAAAATAATAGTCTTCATCATTGCTGACAAAAAGTTGTGGAATTATAGGTGGGTGAGTTTCAGTTGTGTTCAAGTGTGGTAGCTTCAAAATGAAATCCACTAAAGCTCATCTGGAGTGTGTTTAACTGTAATTTGGTGTGTCTTGCCCCCTCAGGAGGAACAGGCTGCTAAAGTGAAAGCTGAGAAGATTAGAGTGGCGTTAGAGAAGATTAAAGAGGCACAAGTGAAAAAGGTAAATTATTTATGCTGTTTTATGAGGTTTTTTTTTTTTTTTTTTTTTTTTTTTTTTTTTTTTTTACACTTTTTCACCTGGAAAATGCAGGCATAATACTTCTCATTAGTGTCTATTACCATTGCTATACCTTAAAGAAAACAGGAATGCTGTAGTGACCAGATCTGATCTAGAGTGATAATGTACCTTTTCATCTGGACGCCAGTCAAAAAATCCTAGCATATCTAATACAAATATTTTAATTTTGAAGCGTTCCAGTAATTTTGTCTTCTACATTTAGCGTTTATAAATCAAAACCTGAAAAAATGTCCTGAGTTGGAAGATGGGAATTAAAACTTGGTAGTACTAGTGTATTACAACTACTGCGTTTTAACTTTTGCAACTGAGCAAGAAGTAAAAAGGAAGCAAGGAGCATAATGAGTAGCAAGAAAAATCTATTGACTTCAGATTTTTTTATTAGTTGTAAAAATAAGTGCATTTTTCTTTCTGGGCAGTGACCTCTTTAAAGTGGACTCTGAAAAGCCACTGTGTTTTAAAAGTATATTTGTTGTGTACTAATGCTTAATGTCTCCAGGAAAATAAGACAGTATAGGTGTGCTGTATATATGATAACGCTAGAAAATAGAACGTTAGAAAATAGATAAAATAACATTAGAAAATAGAGAAAAATCAGGCAGAAAGCTTGACTTGCAAATCTGAAGAAATATGTTCTGTTTAAGTTGGTATAATTCTTGATCTATGCTTGTACCACCTACATATTTTTCTCTTTGTGAGAAAATTGTCACTCAGATGTTTATGGGTTTTTACATTTTGAGGAGAATGTTGAATGATCTGAATATTTTGTTATTTAACAAAATCTTAGAAAAAGGCCTTAAAAAGTACATTTTTACTTGAAATTTAGAAAATGTGGTAAGTTGAACCTCTTTGTGTTTTTCTGATTTTCTGCTCAATAGTTGGTGATCAGAGTCCACATGTCTGATGACAGCTCAAAAACAATGATGGTGGATGAGAGGCAGACAGTGAGACAAGTATTAGACAATCTGATGGACAAATCACATTGTGGTTATAGTTTAGACTGGTCGTTGGTGGAAACCATCTCTGAATTGCAGATGGGTAAGTAATTTATTTATAAACATTTATAATTCTTATCTGTTGATGTGGTACTTATACATATCAATGTCTTCAGAGTAATTTAAATTCTTAACTTCATAGTATTTAATATCCAGGGCTAGTAATCTTCTTTCATCATTGTGAATTTGTTTGCCAGACTGTAATTCTGCATGAACTTCACTACGCATTGTTTCAAATGGATGTGGGAATGTTTTCTTCCTTGGTATTAAAACGATGTCTAAATTTGAAGGCTTGATAGAGGAATTGTAGTAATGTCTATTGACTGAGCCTCTTGGTTTTGATGTGTTCTTCATGTAAGAGTGAGACGAGGAATAAAAAAAAAAATCTCACCATACAAAAAAGCCTGTTAGAGGGTAACTCATTACCCTGTGTTGTTCCTCTGCTATCTTAAATCTTAGTTCATTCCCTACAAATGGCATTTTGTTGCATTCACTCTTAGTATTCTTAATTACTGAGGATTTTGAGTTGTCCTATGTCATCTCAGGCTCCTTTAGTAAGAGCTCCTTGATCTGGATATGGTGAGTGCCATATGCTCTCTGTAAAAATGTGGTGTAATTGATTTGGAGAGGAATATGTTTGGTTTTAACAGGCCAATTATATGTTAAGCAAGTCCCAAAGAATTCTGAAAATTTTTTTGCCTGAGTGACAATATGGCCTATGTGAAAGGGGAAATAATTGCTGAGAGCAAGGTGTTACATGAGAATTGTTTAGAGAAGAGTGTTGGTCAGTGATTTCCCAAAGACTTAGGATAAGAATTTTCAGATATTTCTCTACCACTTCAGTAAATTTTCATCTTTTTAAAAATTCCCCACTTCCTTTTTGCTGATTTTTCATTGTCCCATACTGGTGATAACCATCTCAACACAGAGGCATAATCCATTTTCCAAATTCTTCTACCATACTCCTACTAACTATGGTTATTCTACCTTTCAGAAACATTTTGTTTTCCCTCTAAGCACTGTTTATGACTTTTTTTTGACACTTTGAGTGAGATGGCAACTGGGGATGTAGACACAAAATTAATGCTGAAAAAGCCGCCTAAGAAATTCCTCTAAGAGCTCTGTTAACCAGAGTATATATAAATGTGATTGGTTTTTTTATTTGTTCTTACAACATGTCAGATATTGTTATTTGAATTTGTTGTATTCACGTGGGATAGTTAGCTTTGTCAAGTTCAACAAATGGGTTATTCAGGCTTGTTATACAGATGGTTACGTAAGCCTGAACAGAGAGAAGTGAGAATAGTGTGTGTGTGTGTGTGTGTAAAATTAAGCTGGGCACTTGCAAACGTTCACTAAATTCTTTCTAGTTTGTGTTGTAAATTTCTTCTTCATTTTAGTAGGTCTTGAAGTGTATTTTTTTCCATACGTGCCTCATTTCCCTGGTGAAATTACAGTGTAGCTTATTTCACAGAAAGTGACAGATTAAAATGTTTGCTCTTTTATTATTGCTGCAGAAAGGATCTTTGAAGATCATGAAAATTTAGTTGAAAATCTTCTCAATTGGACGAGAGACAGTCAAAACAAGCTAATGTTTGTGGAACGTATAGAGAAATACGCACTTTTTAAGAATCCCCAGGTAAGCCTGAGGCATATGTTGAGTGTATGTATGTGTATGTCTGATGGCAATTTCATAATGCTTTTGTTAGCATTCATTTTAATATTTCTATTTTGATACTTGTGTCCATATAAAAATGCCAGGCAACCTTACATCTCAGTGCCACATACATCCATGCTGTGACTGATACAAGATCAGATGTCTAACAGGAAAACCCGAGCCGCAGCTGTTTCGTAATGTATTCATGAGCAATTTTTAATAGTGATAAAGGCAGACAGTTTCACAGCAATTGCACTTAGTGCTGTTCACAAAAATAAGTATATAAGCAAGGTATAGGCAGGTATTGCTGAGAGTATTGCTGCTCCACTGTGTTCTTTGTTTACTGACAAGATGAACATTCTGAAGAGGATATCCACACACTGTGGTCAAGTGACACGAGAGGCAGACTTGCATTTCCCTGTTGGGACTTGCCTCTATTCATCCATGTTCCCTGTTTAGGAAACAAAAGGGTCCTCTTCTCTCTTGGGAACTGATTATTGAGGGATGATAATGGAGATTTCAAAATGTTAACTACATATTTGATATCCAGCAGCAGTTCATTACCAAGGAGGCAGCTCTTTGAAGAATTTGGAGCTGAAAAGTTTTGTATATACTATAATTTGATCTCTTCTAACTCTTAGTAACGACTTGCCACTTGAGGTCATGGATTATTTTTATATTGATATGGCATTTATGTGGTAACTTCTTGGATCTGGACTCCCTGTTTACCTAGCAAGCTGAGTAGCAATTTTGCATGGACATCCTTTTGTACACTGTAAATTTACTTTCAAGCGAAAACTGAAAATTGGGTCTTACTCCAGTGCTTTGTTAGGAAGCTGCAAAACTCTGCAAAAAAAAAATTGTTTTAAGACTGTGTTGATAAACATTTACTACATTACATGTAATATGCACTGCCAAGAGCACAAGACACCAGCGTAAAACCAATTTTTAAATACACATATTTCACCTTTATTTGAAGGCTTGATCTGGAACTTATGAATATTGTTTTCTTTTTTTTCCAGTAAGAGCTAGAGGTTGGGAAGAAGATTTTCATCGTCTTTATCCTTTCCAAGCTGAAGAAAAGCATAGGAGTAGTTCTTAAATAAGATAGAGTACCTGTTGCTTAAAAGCTCCTTCTAATAAGACAAGGAGTATGTAGTAGTTTTGTAAATATTTTTTTTCAGAGAAACTATCAGCACAAGGTGAAAAGACGTGCATTTCTTCTGCGTGTGCTTCTGTCAACACACCAGTAATGTCAAGATTTAACACGTTTTCAGATCCTGTGGCATTTTCAAGTTCACACTACTTTTGTTTCTGGATATGTTACACCAGTCAGCTTGTTGTATGGAAAGCCAGGAAAATATTATTATGAGACTATTGCTTTAGGATAAGAGTTGGGACTGATTGGCACTTCTGGAAGAGGTGGTTGTTTATTAAGTTCCATGTATGATGTAGCCATCTGATAGTTTCATCTGGATTACAAAGTTTTGTTTAATTAGAGTATCATTCTTAACACCTTGTTTCTTACTCCTATAGAAAGGCAAATGAGAAATGTTATTTGGCTTTATTTCAGAATGCCTATAGAAATCCTGACCTCTCTCTTGTTACAGAACTATCTCCTGGGGAAAAAAGAAACCTCTGAGATGGCAGACAGAAATAAAGAGGTGCTGCTAGAGGTGAGACTGCCAAAACAAAAAGAACATCAGCATTTGAAACTAAACTCTAAAACTTTGTGGTTGTTGAATCTAATGGATGGATCTGAATGGGAAAATGGAATATGTTACATTTGAGGAAAAATAACTATTTTAATGTCACTGTATTTCATATAAAATAGGTTACTTTGAATGTGTCTTTATTTTCTTTGGCAACCAAAATGAGGTTACCTGTAGTGGTGGTTAAACAGTTGAAATCTGGAGAACTACTGCTTATCTGTTGACCTGCGATGACAGAATTTTTTTGAGCACCCTCCGAATTGTTACTCAGTACGAAATTCTGTAGTGTTGGTTCAGTGACTAGTTCCATGTTAGAATCTTGAGTTTTGTTAGTAAGCAAAGTAGTTAAAAACAATTTCAGTTACACTTTAAAATAAACCACTAAAAATTAGATTTAAAAAGTGAGTGACAGAAAGGGAAGTTATGTAATGTGTTCAATATTAAACAATTCACAGAACTAAGGACAACAAAACAGGAAGCGTGGAGCAAAGAGATCAAACAAGTTGTAGCATTCATAAGCTGAAAACAGAATAATTTTGAGACGTTTTTGTAGAGACATACCTATGCTGAAGTGTGATCGCTTCCACTTGATCATATTGCACAGAGAAAAACCTTTCCTTAATAAGTGTGCATTCCTTAGATGCGGAATTTCAGTCTCAATAAAAAGCAAAACAAAACACTGCATGCTGTACGTTCTCTTTGTGTCACTTTTCAAACCACTGTTTTTTATCTCCAGGAATGTTTCTGTGGAAGTTCTGTAACTGTGCCAGAAATTGAAGGAGTTCTGTGGCTGAAAGAGGATGGTAAGAAGTCTTGGAAGAAACGTTACTTTCTTCTACGAGCTTCAGGAATCTACTATGTTCCTAAGGGGAAGGCAAAGGTATGCTATTTTAAAGCAATTTACCTGTCTTTTTTATTGCTGAGAAATCATTCGGGTACAAGACTCAGCTTTATTAGCTGTGTGCCCTGCCCAGAGCCTTTAATTAAAAGTGCAGCTTTGTTGTGCAAGTGAATTGTAGATGTACTATAAATTACTGTGGTAACACTTGATATGAATTGTCTAACCCCGTATTTAAAAATGCAAGACAACGGGGGTCTGTTTTTTGAGTGAGTTTGGGCTTAGGTGGTCAGAAACACCCAAGATTCACTAAGATTAATTAACAGCAAATGTAAAAGTTCCCAGTCAAATCAGTCCTATTTAATCCATTCTGATAGCAATGCTGAGTAATTATTAGCAGTCTGCTGTAATTGGTTGTCAAGAGGCAAAATACAAATGAACACACAATAGACAGAATTTGAAAAGGAATATCCTGATTAAAAAGGTCTGATGGAAGAGTTTATGCATGGCTGTATTCCCTTGCTGTACTGGTAGTGTTAGAATCAGATTGAAACTAATGATAGTATCATATTAGTACTGAATCTTAACACTAAAGTGGTTTGATATTTTTTTTTCTTTTTTTTTTCTTTTTCAGTGTTTGTGGTTTTCTTACGTAGCTGTTTTGTAAATTAGTATTTTTGTACTCAATAGGTCTCGCGGGATCTCGTGTGCTTTCTACAGCTAGATCATGTCAACGTTTACTACGGACAGGACTATCGGAACAAATACAAAGCTCCCACAGACTACTGCTTAGTGCTGAAGGTAGGAGAATAGTTGTTGCCTGTTCTCTGTGCTCCTCATGACTTTGTAAATATTTACATATTGCTCTGAATTGCCAGACTGACAATTCCTACTCTATTTAATCGTTCTATTTAATTGTTATCAAGTATTACACCAAAATCTTTGGCAGCTGCCTTACAGGAATGCAGATTTACTGGATTTAATGCTCTTTGAAACACTAATGTCAGGGTTTTCCTGTCCTCCGAGAGCATATGTTCAGAGTAGTGCACAAATTGGTATTAGTGTCAAGCCCACCCATATTGCCCAACTTGGGGAGACAGGGATGCTGTAAGGGAAGAAACTTCTTAGTATTAAGACAAATAAAAGTACAAGTAGAAAAAAACGTTATGAAATCAGTGACCTAATCTTAAACTGTAGAGTTATTAATTAATGCTTTTGGTTGATTTAGATTGCATCAATTTCATAGAATCATAGTGTGGTTTGAGTTGGAATGGACCTTTAAGCTCATCTGGCTCCAACCCCCCTGCTATAGGCAGGGACACCTTCCTCTAGACCAGGTTGCTCACAGCCCCATCCAGCCTGGCCTTGAATGCTTCCAGGGAGGGGGCATTCACAACCTCTCTGTGCAACCTGTTCCAATGTCTCACCACCCTCACAGTAAAGAATTTCTTCCTGATACCTAGTCTAAATCTACCTTCTTTCAGTTTAAAGCCATCTCCCTCCTGTCACTACTTGCCCCTACAAAGAAAAAACAAACAAACAAACGAAAAAAACCAACAAAACAAAAACCTTCCTTAACTCTCACACATTGTTCAAAATAGTGTTAGTTCCTGCAAGTTATCAAGAGTAGTCAGCATGGGTTCACAAGGGGGAGGTCGTGCTTGACCAACCTGGTAGCCTTCTATGATGCTGTCTCTGGCTGGGTGGATAGGGGGAGAGCAGTGGATGTAGTCTACCTTGATTTCAGCAAGGCATTTGATACTGTCCCCCACGACATCCTTATAACAAAGCTGAGGAAGTGTGGGATAGATGAGTGGACAGTGAGGTGGGTTGAGAACTGGCTGATTGGCAGAGCACAGAGGGTCGTTGTTGGTGGTGCAGAGTCTGGTTGGAGGCCTGTAAGCAGTGGTGTTCCTCAGGGGTCTGTGCTGGGTCCGGTCTTGTTCAGCATCTTCATCAATGACCTTGATGAGGGGATAATGGCCACCCTCAGCAAGTTTGCTGATGATACGAAATTGGGAGGATTGGCTGACACGCCTGAAGGCTGTGTTGCCATTCAGCAAGACCTGGACAGGCTGGAGAGCTGGGCAGAAAAAAAACAGATGAGGTTTAACAAAAGCAAGTGTAGAGTCTTGCATCTGGGGAGGAATAATTCCATGCACCAGTACAGGTTGGGGGATGAGCTGCTGGAGGGGAGCTCTGCGGAAAGGGACCTGGGTGTCCTGGTGGATGACAGGCTGGCCATGAGCCAGCAGTGTGCCCTTGTGGCCAAAAAGGCCAATGGCTTACTGGGGTGCATTAAAAAGAGCATGTCCAGCAGGTCAAGGGAGGTGATCCTCCCCCTCTACTCTGCCCTGGTAAGACCTCATCTGGAGTACTGCGTCCAGTTCTGGGCTCCCCAGTACAAAAAAGACAAGGATCTCTTGGAAAGAGTCCAGCAGAGGGCCACAAAGATGGTGAAGGGCCTGGAGCATCTCTCCTATGAGGAAAGGCTGAGTGAACTGGGTCTGTTCAGCCTTGAGAAAAGAAGACTGAGAGGGGACCTGATCCAGGTCTACAAATATCTAAGGTGTGGGGGGCAGAATGGCGAGGCCAGACTGTTTTCAGTGGTGAGTGGAGACAGGACAAGGGGAAACGGCCAGAAACTGCAGCATAGGAAGTTCCGCACAAATGTGCGCAAGAACTTCTTTACAGTGAGGTGACGGAGCACTGGAACAGGCTGCCCAGGGAGGTGGTGGAGTCTCCTTCTCTGGAGATGTTCAAGACCTGCCTGGATGCCGACCTGTGCGACCTACTGTAGGGAACCTGCTTTGGCAGGGGGGTTGGACTCGATGATCTCTGGAGGTCCCTTCCAACCCCTACAATTCTGTGATTCTGTGAAGATAGCTAGCTACAAAGCTGTTTAAAATATTTTCACAGTATGTTTGTAGCAAGTAAAGTATTTTCATGAATTTGAAAATGGCGCAAGTAACAAGATAGTTACAGTTCGACTTAAATTTTCTTTCTAACTTTATATCATCTTGTGTCATGTGGTGCTGGGTACAGACATCAGTACATTAAAATGGTTGTTGTGCCTGGAGTGTGTGGCTGCCAGTCTGTGATGTGAAGAAAACATGTTGCCCTTCTTTTAACAGAGGGCATAATGTTTGGGCCCACTGACAGGTAGACATTGAGTGTCAAGTTTGGGACATGAGATTAAGGAGGAAGGCATAAAATTAAAATTGGAAATATTTTCTTTGTTCTTATAAGTCACTGGAATAGTTAATTGAATGCAATTAAATGCAAAAATACCACTGTTTGTAGGTATAATTATTAGTTACTTGTGTAAAACTGATTTCTTATGTTTGTATGCCACTTTCTATCTGTATCATTTTTATGGATGAATTATTTTTTTCAAGTGTATTGATCACAGAATCACAGAATCACCTGGGTTGGAAGGGACCTCAAGGATCATGTAGTTCCAACCCCCCTGCCTAGCACCCAGAATAAACCAAAGTTTTATCTCAATAGATTTTTAAAAAGTAATTTATTACTGTTGTAAGCATAAGGGAAGACATGAGAATATTGAAGTTAAATTTTTAACATTAGTTAAAAATTAGAAGAAGAGTGTCCTCCACGGAACTGTATGTCGGCGTGAGGGAAAGATTGAAATACTATTTGTCTCCCTGCAGTGGTGGTTAGTCCATAGGGGGGCAGTAAAGGAGAAAACTCTGTGCACTTTGGCTGTCTTTTGCTTGCAATGTTTTTACAAGCTGAGACTGTTCTGACCACTTGGTTTGAGAGTAGAAACATGTATGAAGAGCCTCAGGGTACAGAAGGCTCTGTAGGTAGATAAAAGGTGCAGAACTAAAATACTGAAAGACTCACCCTTTCCTAGTGTTTCATACCTGAAGTCAGTGCTCACTGACACGCTGCCAATCTCTGTGTAAAACAGTTCCCCTACCTCCTGAAATGCTTTCAAATATTTGTAAGTGAACTCAAAACATGTACTACCATTCAAGAGCAGTAAATTTGTCTTTATAAAACTTAGCAGTTAAATAGCTTTCCTTACCTTCCTACCCATTTAAATAATGGTAATTGTTAATGTTTTTATGCAGCATCCTCAGATCCAGAAGAAATCCCAGTATATCAAGTATCTTTGCTGTGATGATGTAAGAACTCTACACCAATGGATCAATGGCATCCGCATTGCTAAGGTAACATCCTCCAGCCAGTCTTCCATTGTTGTCATGGTCTGTATGAAACTATTTGCAGTTATTTGGCAAAACACGTGCTGAATCCACACGAAACATTTCTTCTATTTCTGGTAACCTTAGTTGTCAAATGACAAAATTGGTATCTTGGCTTAATGTTAGCCAGCTCCCTTTTGGGTTTCACATAATTGTTTTCTAATATCTCCAGCTTGTGTTAGGCCCACTTCTTGCATTATCTAGCTGGTTTGATGCTGTCTGTTCTAGCTTAAACAATTTTTAATTTTTTTTTAGCAATTCATTAAGTAAAATGCAAAAGTTTGTGGGGAGGAAGCTGCCACTGCTGTTAAGTAAAGCAAAATGAAATTTGCACTGAATTAATTCTGTGTGAAATCCTTCACAGAGAGCATGCTTTTTTGTCTCTGGGTGTTTCTCCTTTTTCTGAGGGGGGAAAAAGGTGGAACAAAGAAGCTAAAGTTGAAGATCAACAGACCGAAAAGGGTACACAGCCTATATAGTAGTTAGCCTATAGAGTAGTTAAATTTGTTTGTCATTTCACTTAGTATGGGAAGCAACTGTATATGAACTATCAAGATGCACTAAAGAGAACAGAATCGGCATATGACTGGACTTCCTTGTCTAGCTCCAGTATCAAGTCAGGCTCCAGCTCATCTAGTTTGCCAGGTAATTATGTGACTTGTCTCTTAATTGAAAGATTTAATTACTTCTTTTTTGTTACCAAATACTTGGAGACTGTAAGTGAAGCTATTTGAGGGGGGAATGGACTATTAATCTAAAAATGTGTTTTACGTTACTTGCCGTGGCGCATTTTCAGAACTTATAGTACTTTGTCATGAGCCTCCAGAAGAGTTTGTTTTTCTGATACTGATAAGAGGAAGCTTCCTTTCAAATTTGTGATGCCTCTATCTTCATGTATTTGAAAAAAATAATTTAAAAAAATCCAGCTCTATGCTTTAATGATGCAAGTGGCTTTTGCTGACTGACATTTTTTAAACTGGTAATTGGGAAAGAATCACTGCCCAAAGAGAAACTTCCAGACAGTCTCGTCCCAGATTCAAAATGGGGATTCTGCTTCTGGGGCAAATTTTGTGTGCCTGCAGGAATATGCTCTGTTATTCTGTTTTGTCGTCTAGACAGCAGTCTTCAGTGGGCTGGCTGTGAGTGGGAACATACAGAGTAGTTTGTGGGAACAGTGTCATTTGTTGGAATTAAATGTTTCACAAGCATGACCAGTAAATGTCACATAGAGTTCCATTGTAAGCATGGTGGCTTCACTCTTATGTTCAGAAACATATGCTGTTTCTTCACTTTCTTTTAAACAGAATCTCAATCAAATCATTCTAATCAATCTGACAGTGGAGTTTCTGACACCCAGCCAACTGGACATGTCCGTTCCCAAAGTATTGTCAGCTCCATGTTCTCTGAGGCCTGGAAGCGAGGCACGCAACTGGAGGAATCCAGCAAGGTAACAAGAAGATTTTAGTTTGAGAATCAACACACAACAGAATGCACAAGACAGAGCATTACCTCTTCCACCTCTGTCTGAAGTGGGGATGGATTTTTTTTCATCTTTTTTACTCTGTGTTATTTACATACACTGCCATGTAATGCGTTTGGTTTTTTTTCCCCAGGAATCACTTTTTCAGGGAATTCACTCATAGAACTTTCTGTTCTTGTTTTTATTAGTGTGCACAGAAGCCTTTTGGTCTTTGAAGGCATGCAAGAGCCCTTCACAATAATCTTATTAATTAGCGTTGTATAAAGAACAAATAAAAAGATCAGCTGTTAGAAGCTAACAAATGAAATTAATTCGCTAAGATTTTCTTCTGTTAACTGGCCACATCTTTCCACTGTAAATTCCACGGACAACTGAGACCTGAAGGCAGGTACGCCTGTATAAGGCGCACTCTAGTAGTTTGGGTTCCAACGTTTGGTATTATATTGTGTGGAAATGAAGGCGGTAGACACAAGTACTGTTAAGCAGCAGTATTAAAATCAACTGCGTTTGAGGTTAAAGACTTGATATCTCCTGTTGCTGATAGAAAGTTACAAAAGACACTAATCCATTTACTCCTGGGGCCTGTGGTGATTTGGTTAGTGTTATGTCTAGTAGTTGACTGGTGTAGTGAATGCCTTCACAGACAGCAGAACCGTCCTTTCATCTGGTTGGTTGTCAGGCTCAAAGGAATTTCCTGAACAGCCATAATACTGGTATTAAGTGCAGCAGTTATGTACGTTGCGGGAAGGTACCTTCACTCATGCAGTTTTGAATCTTTCTCAGACTGTAGGTTCAAGCCAGAGAAGCAGGTTTTTTAAAAGAAAACCATGGGTCACTACACCTGATGCTGGTGCATCAGATGAATAACTAGAAATAAGACACAACGTTAATTACATGTACAAATGAAAAAGTACAGGTGGCGCAATGTGAAAAATGACTTGGGTGTTTTCTTTGAGACTTGGAAATTTTCTGTAGTGTCTGCAGGCTTGGAAATTATCTCAATGTAATAGCAAATAGTACACAGCCCAGGAACATAGCTTGCTAAACTCTGACCCGGATTTTTCTGCCGCATGTGTGCAAAACCTGCTGCATGTTCATCAGCACATGGCTTGTGTATGTGTACAGGATGCATCATTTGTGCAGGGGCTGGGTGGATCAAAAAGACAGGGCATGCGAGTCTGTCTAGCATGTTATCCAACAGAGATGGAAGAGTACTGCTATGAGACTGTAATGTCAGTGTTTTCTGAGGTTTTGGTTTTCATGCGAGATCTTGCTTCTTGCTTCTATGAAATTTTGGAGAAAAATTGAATTTTAGCACCTTGGACCACCGCTGTTCTTATCCAGTCCATAGTGCCAATGGCAATTGCTCATTTAAATAAACCCCAATAATTTTTGTTATCTGATTAAAGCATTTTTACAAATAAAATATTCAGACTATTCCCTATTAAGAGCCATCCATGTTTCAAGCTTTCATCAATTCTAATTCCTTTATTTGTACAAATTTACTTCAAGGTGTATTTCTCTTCCTCACACATAGCACAGGTGAAGGGATCAAAGTAAAACATCCAAAGAATTCAAATGAAGTTAACCTTGTAAAATTATTGAAAACCTTGAAACCATGCTAAGAAAATCCCGAGTAAATTGGTCACAAATTTAACTTAAGTAAAACTACAGTATTTTTTTTTTAACCTGTGCAGGTCTGGCCCAAGGAAGGGTTAACAACAGAAAATATTTAACTGTTACGAGAAAGGAAACAACAGTATTGATACAATTGTATTTGACGTGAAAAAGCACCTGCAATTGTAGATACTGAGCCGTGCTGGTTTAGGGAGATCAGTCTCCAAACAGTATCTTCAGAGTTAGTAATTCTCCAGTGCTTTAGCTTTTGGTGACAGAGCTTGCTTAAGAAATATATAAGGCAGGTTGTTGCAAGTGTCAAAATTAATGGAGGCTTGGCTTGTTCAGTGTGTCCTTTCCACTTCTGCAACTGTCTCTTCCCCATGTCACCCTTTTCTTACCTCCTTCAACAAGCAGGGCAGAACAGAGCACCTCTTGGCCAGCAGGTTGATGACATTGAGGCTGGTCGGGATGTTGCACTGCTTTCTGGTTCTGCCTGCTTTTCCCCCATTTAAAGGTGCCAAGAATTTCACTTCCATTTTTTGAAGTTGAAAATATACTGAGATTTACACCTGTCATGTTTGGCTAAAATTGGCCAACCAGTCCAAATGCAACTGTCACAGGAAGAGATTGCAAACAATTCAAATGCAAAAGCTTGTTTACTTAGGAAAAACAGCTGAAGAAACCTCACAGTTACTGTTTTAAACAGTAGTTACTGTTATTTTTATAGGATTTGGGGGATTTCCAGATAGCCATGGTGATATATGATAAAAATATGAATTGAGATAGTATGCAGTGCAGTAGGTCGTTTTTAAGATACACAGTTATCTGTTTCAAGGTTTTTCTGTAAGCGAAGTCTGATTGAAAATTTTTTCTGATTGTGGAAATGTAATTTGCTTATATGAAAGTGGGAATAGATTGCCATCCTGCAGTACAGTAATCTTTCCCATTGCGTGCTCAATTTGCTCACTGTGAAAATGACTGTCTTCAATGGATGAGGTAAACCTAAGACTTAAGTGGCTGCCTTTCCAAAATGCCAGTCTGTCCAGTTCATATTTTGAAAGACTACTCTGCCTAAAGAACGCTGTGTTCACCCGCACACATTCATCACAGCTGGGCAGTGAAAATCTCACTGTCTTGTTTTTCTTGTTAGATTTTGAAAATGTTATTTCAAATGAGATGCTACACATGGTGTCAAAGTGAGTGCTCTGTGTGTTTACGTGACAAGGCATGAGGAACAGTTCCCTGTTTCAGATTCTCTAAAATCTTGCTGTTCAGAGATAGCTGTTCTTTTATGTCTCAGTCTCCCTATTTGTTTTATGCTGCTTTTATTTTTCCTGTTGCCTTTTGCTGTCTCAGGTATCAAAAGCGAAGCTCAGCACAGCTAAGGTCAGCACACCCGTGGTGCCTTATACAGGGCAGAATTAAGGTCAGGGGCTGCTACTTGAAAATACATTAACTTGAGTGATTGGGAGAATGGTAATTACAGACTAACAATATGCAAGAGATCAAGATTTCCCCTTGCTTGTGTGAACACGTTGATGTAGCTCCCGAACTATGTACACTCTTGCTTTACATGCTTAATATGACAGGTAGAGGCACACCTACGTTAGTTGTAAATTGCTATTTATTGTTTCTTACTCTAACATTTGTGTTATTCCTGTGCATATAGAAACTGTGCACCTGTGTTTAAAACAACTATAAGCAAGTTTATACAGCACAAATGAGCATAACTGGGCTAATTTGTGGCATAATACATACCAGTGAAGTTAGGTACGGAGTGTGCTTAGTTGCCGTGTTGGTGTTATGTTTCTAATGCATGATTTTAAGCTGTACACTGTGAAGATGACAACTTGGCTTGTAGCAAAACCACTTTGTACTAGGTGATTGTAGTTCTGATAAACTTGAATAATGTCATTACCTTTTTAATTTTTAATAAGAATGTAGGTTTACAATTTTAGAGAAACAATTTAACAAGAAGAAAACCCAATAAGTAGACTAAAGCATTGCCTGCTGCTTTTCCATTGCTGTTTCACTTATACAGTTCTCCCCAGTCTTTCTTTTTTCTAATGACATAATAGCTGCATGCCTAGCTTTTCCAAGCTAACTGTCTCTAAGCGTTTCCTTCTGTGGAAATTTTCTTAGGAGACTTTATTACTCCCTCTTTCTGCTCTTTTTTTTTTTTTTTTTTTTCTCTTGACAGCGTTTGATGTCAGAGCATGTGGAATAGAAGGATCTCAGAATCTCCATAGAGCTTGCTCTTCATGTGTTTTAGAGCAGTTCAGGATTTCTGCGCTCTGTAATGCTAAGCAGTATTAAGGCCTAAGCTAACAACACGAAGGCTTGCCAGATGCTCAGGGAGGCCTGGGTATGGTTTAACTCTAGTTTTACTGAGTGAAAAGATGCCTGCAGGCTCTTGCTCTGCATGGTGTCATTTGTTGTGGCCAGGGGCACTCTGGGCAACGTTCAGTCTGGTTCATTATGCTTGCTCACAGGAGGATCAGTGATTCGCACTTGGTACAGCTGCCTGTCCCCCAGAAAAAAAAAAAAAAACTATTTTCTTCCTGCTGTTCAGCATAGATTGAAGTAGACCTGGCCCCGGTGATTCCTGCCACCTTTCCCTACCGGCCTGGCTGGCTGGCCATACTGTACAGTTCAGGCTTGTCAGGGTAAAGGACTATCTCTTGCTGCATTGTTTTCCTAATATTCCTGCATGCTATAATCCTGCCACTTAATTTTTAATGATAGGTTCATTTAGATCTTGACTTCATAATCTCTTTGTCTCCCTCCCTCCCTTCCTCTCTATCTTTTTCTCCCTCTCTACTTTCACTAAAAATCCCTTCTAAATAGGTGCGAATGGAGCCTGCAGGTCGGCCCTTCATCTCTGTTGCACCTCCTGTGTCCCCACAGACAAAAGTGGTGACCCCCTATTCAGCATCACAGCCATCCCCCCCCCCCCCCGCCCCCGGGCCTGCCCCTCCTCCGCCGCCACCTCCGCTCCCCAGCCAGGCCGCCCCATCTGCTGCCTCACCTGCTGCCATGTTTGTTAAGTACAGCACCATCACCAGGCTGCAGAATGCTGCCCAGCACGGTGGGCCTTTTTCCAAGGCCCCTGCTGCTGCACAGCAGCCCCCCCCGGCCCCTCCCTCCTCAGGGAAGGCCCAGGTACGGGTGCCGCCCAATGGAGTCATGCCACCTCCCCCCCCCCCCTCCTCCTCCCCCCACACCGGGCTCAGCCATGGCACAACTGAAGCCGGCACCTGTTGCCCCCTCTGTACCACAGTTCACACCTCCACCACCCCCTCCCAAAATCCATCAGGTTCAACCAAATATAAGTCAGGTGGCTGCTGCTGCCTCACCATTGCCACCACCTCCTCCCCCTGTGCCTGCCCCACCACCACCCCCAGCACCCCCAAAGCCTCTCATGACAGCTGTCCCCCCCCCGCCGAGCAGGGAAGCAGCGTCACCAGGGGTCTCACACATCACCTCCCCTGTGCCAGTTCCCTTGCCTCTTGCAAGTAAGAAACAGCCAAGTGTCACATCTCCCCAGGTGCCTCCGCTGCCCCCGGCCCCTCTGGGCCCCACTCCTCCCCCAACATTTCCAAAGCAGCAGAGTTTTTCTATGAAGCCTCCCCCATCACCTCAGTCCCCAGTGCCGTCAGTAGTGAAGCAGATAGTCAGCCAGTTCCCACCTCCTCCCACCCCACCTGCCACTGAGCCCCAGCCTCTGAAACCCCTTCCTTTGAGTGTGGCTCCCCAGTCACCTCCAGCGGTGAAGGCAAAACCCAAATGGCAGCCTGCCTCTGCTCCCTCACCGGATTTCCCACCTCCTCCACCAGAGAGCAGCTTAGTGTTTCCTCCTCCGCCTCCTTCCCCAGCTACCTCTGCAGGTTCTCCCCCCCCTGACAAATCAGGGTCTCCAGTCAAAAAGACCAGCAAGACATCAAGCCCTGGAGCAAAGAAACCGCCTCCAACACCTCAGCGGAACTCCAGCATCAAGTCCACCAGCTCCACTGAGTACAGTGAGTCCAAGAGACCTTCAGTGGACCGCCTTGTCAGCAAATTTGCACACCCACCAGAGCCATCAGGGTCTCCATCAAAGGAGTCATCACCTCCTGTGGCCCCTCCAAAGCCCGGAAAGCTCAATCTCTCTGGTGTGAGCTTGCCCATCGTCCTTCCGCAGGGAGGGATCCCGGCCAAGGCTCTTGCTCCAGGTGTATCAGGGAAGGAACCTATGGTTGAGTTTCCTTCTCCGCCGTCGGATTCAGACTTTCCACCACCACCACCTGAAATAGATCTTCCTCTCCCCCCCGTTGAGATACCATCTGTGTTTTCAGGCAGCACTTCTCCAAAAGTTGCTGTGGTCAACCCTCAGCCTCAGGCGTGGTCGAAACCATCAGTTAAAAAAGCTCCACCACCCACACGTCCGAAGCGGAACGACAGCACTCGGCTGACACAGGCAGATGTCGCAGAGTCACCGGCAACACCTGGCCCCCAAGTGCCCACTTCACCCAAGTCTAGCCTTAGCGTTCAGCCAGGATTCCTGGCAGACCTCAACCGGACGCTGCAGCGGAAATCCATCACCCGGCACGGCTCCCTCTCCTCTGCCCGGATGTCCAGAGCAGAGCCCACTGCCACCATGGACGACATGGCCTTGCCACCGCCCCCACCGGAGCTTCTGGCCGATCAGCAGAAGACGAGCAGCTTCGGGGGCAGCCACATATCTGGCTATGCAACATTACGGAGGGGGCCACCCCCCGCGCCTCCCAAGAGGGATCAGAACACTAAGTTGTCACGGGACTGGTAGTCGGTCACCCGGGGCCGGTGCTCTCCATGACTTGTGGCTGCTCTGTGACCAGCCAACCCGTGATGTTGTGCACTTGGAGAGAATGTGGGGACGTGGATAATAGCCCTGTCAAAAGAGGTGATCTCAAACTGTAGTCAAGGCTAAAGATAGACATTCCCCCCTCATGGCTAGGCCAAAACAGTTGGGGGCAGGGGGTTGTCAGTATTTTATTGGGGGAGGTGGGTAGAGAGGTGTTGACTTAACATTTTCAATTTCTTTTACCCTTCATATGGATTGGACCAAAATCCCTTTTTCTTACTTTTTCTGCATTTGGGGGGGAAGATAATTTTTTGTAGTGTCTGTCCATGTGAGACATGTTTGTGCATGTATTATAAGTGTAGGTATATAATATATTGTGATATATTTCATTGCAATTATAGAAGATAACCAGAATGTTTTTGTAGATCTGTATTTATTGTTTCAGTCGCTATGTTATTGGGAATCGGACTCTGTAACCAATCTGATTGTAAAGATGAAACTGTCGGGGGCACTTTAAAGAAAGAAGGAGAAAGGAAGAAAGGAAAAAAAAAAAAAAGCAGGGAAAACAAACAAGCAAACAATTTGGCAGTTTGTGATGGGTAAATGGTGCAGGGTTGAGTCTGCTAGTAACTGCACGCTGGTCATTGATTAAAAATGCAAACACAACATACCAAAACATTCTGGTCATAATACTACTGAAAACGAGTATGTTATGAGGAAGAAAATAGATTTTATATATAGTGGGCTGGAGTGAAATATATTTATACTATAAAGAACCTCCCCCTTCCTTGCAAATAGTTTAAAAATATACACTGCTACAAATTAATTTGAAGTTATTTGTCCATGAATAACTAGGAGAAGTACATAATATTCCAATCCATTATGCATCTTGACTTTGTAGTAGGCTTGATCATTTGTTTTTATGACACAAGGTGACTATTTCTGTTAACCCCTTCTGAAAGCTGCCAGGACTCCTGCAACCAGTGCCGACCCACAAGGCTGACCCCTGTGGACGCACCACTTGTACGTGTAACTCTTTCCCTGAACAAACAGGTAGGTTTTGGCAGTGTTACGTTCTCAAATGAACATACCTAGCGCAGTCTCATGCTGTCTGTGCCCAGTAAGATGTGTTACTGTTACAGAAACAAGTGTCTGGAAACAGTTAAAAGTACTGTTTGTAATTCATTAGTAGCTGTCAGGAAATATTACTTTCTAGAAAGAGAGAAAGTATTGGTAACTTGAGGCAAACACAGCTGCAATTCTCTTTTCTTTGACGTGCCAGGAACTGTGATCAACACATAGAGCTGTTAATTATGAAGTTGCACTTCTAACAGCTAAGGGGAGGACTGGAAAAAAAAAATTCTTTTAGAGGCAATAATGTTAGCAGACAGTTTTAAGGGGCTGCATGAGTAGGAAATATTTGCTTTGGTGTTTTTTTTTGTTTGCCACAGAGTCACAATCACGGCATCAGGTACCACAGTCCTTTTTTTGTACTTCAGAAGTTTCACGATGCTGCTTTAGCCATGGCTTGGACACAGTAAGTTAGTGCAGTTAGCGTAAGTGCTCTTGTGTGTTATGCATGCTCCGTACAGGGTAGTGGTATACAATCTATGTAGGTTAAGCAGAATATCGGGCCTGTACCCAGGTCATCCTTGGTTGTTATAACTTCCTTGGGCACAACAGGGATGCTGTCAAGGCTCAGATGTCAAAAGGATTTTATTATTGTTTACCTTTTCTCTAAAAGCAAGTATTATTACATGCTTTCCTTCCCCCAAAAAGTGAAACAAAGGCAGTAGTTTAACCTGACGGTGTCTTCAAGCGTTAAAGTAAGGTACAAGCTAAGCTCGTGGTAGAGAAATTCTGGCTGATAGAAATATTGTGAGAGGGCTTGCTGTTCCTTTTTTATAGGTTTTTTTAAATCTAAATAATAAAATAAATGTCTTTGTGAATAATTTATCAATAGGAAAACGTTTGCCAATTAGAAGGAAAAATGGCGCATCTATAACTATATAATTTTAAATAAGTGCATCATGAAAAGAGAAAAATCAATGGTGCTGTCTCTGCCTTCCTGTTTCATATCCCTTCTTGAAATCTCTTTCAGCACCTCTGGAAATTATTTTAGTATTTCAGACTAGTTTTTTTGAGCAATAAGGATATACCATTGTGTGCATTTTTAAAGCACTGCTGTGGAAAGGCACTTTTTTTCTATCTTTCAGATTGTTCACAAATTTCTGTTTCTACTACTTTTGTGCTTATGAAGTGTCCTTAAAAGCATTTATGTTGTTGATTTTGAGCATGGTCAGTATAGCTGGCTAATAAGTCAATAGAAAAATTGTTAAGCTATACTGGAATTCATGGGTGCTGTAATTTTCTATGTTGGTCCTTCTGCTGCTTTGTACTGTATACAGCTCCAGGGGCTCGTACCCACCAGTGGTGCAAAATGTGTGCAGACACAGTTACAACTCCCCAGCTGATACTGGCAGTAGGCAGGTGGCACATTCTCTGCTTCCTGGTAGGGTGCAAATGTGAGTTGATGCAGTGCGTGCTCCCAGACGAGAGCAATCAGGGAATTCTGCTTATCTCCTCTCTTTCTTTCTCTGCAAAACAGTTCTGTTGGTGTGTGATGGTTCCGTTTTTTTTCTTCCGTTCATTCAGTGCAGGTGCCTCTGGGATTTGCATTTGGCAGAGCAATGTTTTCAGTGCAGGTTTTTCTGAGGTGTTTGAGCTTTGTTCTTTTAATGTTCCTGTGCCCGAGTTCATTTACCCACTATCTCCCACGAGACGGTAAATCCATGCTTAATTTTGCAGGCTACTAAAGAGCTTGCTGGGAGACAGAAATTGAACACCAACTTTACAGCACAAAGAATGAGCATCAGCAAAGGTGGCACCCTTCTTAGTACAACTTCCTTCATTAGTAAGTAGTCATATAGAAATATAGCAAGTGGCTGCAGCTTTCCTTCTGATGAGCACTGAAATCTGGATACAGAGTGGTTTGGAAAATCTGGATGCCTTTTCTCCTTCTGAGACCTGTTGACATAACTTGCTTTTCTAGTGTATTTACTGCTTTTATGACAGCACATGTGCATGCCTTATTTACAAGCTGTTTTTTGCCCTTGTGCACTGGTTTCAGAATTCTACCATTTTCTTTGCTAAAATCATCAGAAAACAAAGGAGCCAAATTTCAGACATGCAGGAAGATGCTTCTTGCTGCAAATGCGGGGCTGTTTTGGTACTGTTCAAATGAACAAGTGAGGGCCGAGCTAGCACCCTCTGTACACAAAGATGGCACATGGTTTCATCCTAGAATGCTGAAAATGGATAGCCCTAATTACATGTATGTGTACAATTTGACTCAATGTCAGGGAAAGCCTTGCTTCTGCAGGAGTTGGTGAGAGCAGATAGTGGAACTGTACTTTGTTCCAGTGCCTGTTCTTTCAGATTTCTTCCAGTGGTGACATCTGCCTCTATGGGTAGCTGGGCTCTGTTCAGCCAGCAGAGAGCAGAGTTCTCTCCGTGCGGCGTGGGCATAGAAAGCAGGGGCTCACAGACTTCCTGTTCATTCTGCTCTTGGGGAATTGCTTTTGAAGGGAAAAACTAGGCTCTCCTAACAGCAGTAACAAGAGGAGAGAAAGGATATAACAAGAAAGCTCTTTAGCAAGTGGTTCTAAACACATAATTGGTAATATGTTTGAGATGGACATGCCAGTCTTCTGTTTTGCCTTTCAAACCAGGAAGGAGGCACAAGACCCACAAAAAAGAAAGTAATCTAGTTATTTTAATTCTTTACATGGAAATTACCTGCTTTCCTCTGCGCAGTAGCTTCCTCGTGCAACAAAAGACTACTTGCTCTAACGTGGTGCACAGCCCCAAAGCCAAAGAGCTCCTCTCCTGAACTTACTGTGCAATGTCCTGCAGAGCACCAGGGAACAACTGACGCATCAGGGAGAGACAACAAAGGTACCTGAATCACTTTGTCTTCAGGACTAATGGGAGAGGGAGCAATTTTTTAACAAGTGCATTTTAAGATTTACTGTTGTGGAGTTGCACGTGTGGAGTTTTGTTGTTGTTGTTTTCCTAATTTCTTTGTTCTGTGCTCTTAGGCAACCAGGTAGCACAGATCAGAGTGGCCAGTCTTGCTCTGGGTTAAAATTATTTCTTTACACAGTTAAAGGAACCAAAAGTGCTGTTTCAACTGCAGAAGGGCAAAAAAGATTTTTTTCTGCTTATTACAGAAAACTGCATAGATTTAAAGTGTTGTACAGTAGTAAAACAGTACTACAATGCAGTAGTGCCATTACTGGTAAAATTCTCTTATTCAAAGTAAGATAAACGGGTCTTACTTGAGCATTACTTCCAGTAGTGAGTCACATTAAAATCAGTTGCATCTCCTTGATTAACTGGGACATTGTATGGCTTTAACTATATCTTGAGAACATTTGCTGTGGTAGAGAATAAGATTACCATCTGAAAATATTGTTAACATAGAGCCAAATTCTTAGAGCTGTAGTGGTATTTTTATTCAATTTGTTACCTGCAGAATTTTCAACACTTGATGCTCTTCCTGGTTTTTAGTATTTACTTCCAAGTAGCAGCAGTAGTTTGTAAAGGTATTTTCTGTTTGGCATAAATATGCTGATAAGATGGAAGTCACACACGTGTGCTTTCTTGCAGTTCTGTCTCAGTCCAAACATTAGCAATGTAAACTCCTGCCAGAATGTAGTAAAGATAGTGAAGATGTGATCAGAACATATGAGCCTTTTTGTTTTCTTGGTGGTGGTTTTTCCTTTTTTTTTTTTTCCCCTCTCATTGTGAAGATGTAGAGTTATATTCTTGTTCAAACAGTGCTCCTGACCTGGGGACAAGGGCAATTTTATTTTTTTGGTTGTAGGAGCTTCCTTATTTGTGGCTCCTGGTGTTCAGTTTTGTGTTCCTTTTTTCACTTGGAGTAGACTGCAATCCAGAGAGCATTTAACACTACAGCTTTCCCTTACAAGCTTCTATAAAATGCTGGTGCTTTTTAAACTTTCTATTTTAGAAATATAAGTACATTTTTCTAAAATAATTTTCCTTTCTGAATTCCTTTTCTCCTTCAGTTAAAAAAAATAAGTGACAAAACCAGCATTACAGTGCAGGGGTCAGCACTCACTAATACTGCAATCCAATGAGACACAGGCTTTGTCTAGTTTTGAAAAGTTTTAAGCCACTAAATTGCAAATGATTGGCCATCATATGTAAAATTAAAGTAACTGCCACTAATGTGAGAAAAATAAGTAGGACAAGGATTCAGTGAGCTCTGTTTGTGGGAATTGTATGTCCTCAATGAGGAGAGCTAGAGAAGAACTGGAAGGAACAGGAGCTGGTGCTGCATCTATGCCCAGTCCCCTACAGCAGGAATTTAGTGAGGGGAATGAGTAAGAAACTCGAACAACAGATTTTGGAAACCCCCTTAAGTGTTAACACTTAAAGGCAACCTGTCTGTTGCACTTTGGAATTGAACCAACTGTTCCTCGGAGTGGAAAATAGTTCTCTCTCACTC